GACCGAAAGGACCCGGGGAGTGATGAGTTGGATCCCCAGGGACGCTTTATCAGTTGGGTACCCGATGATATCAGATGATGGTACCCAAAAAAGGCAGGCTTAAGATCAAGATGTTACGCAGATGATGTCCCTGGCGGAATTTCGAGGCTTTCCAACTTTTCTGGTTTGGGGCTGCTATACATGGGTCCTGACGCTTAGCAAGTGATTCTTCTTTGGGAATTCATGGCAATGGCAAATTCCCAGTTAATCACCCTACTTCATGGGAAAGGCGCCAACAGATAGATGTGAATGGGGCATGGCTTTATTGTAGGATTCACCACTGGATAGGGTCAACCATCCAGCTGCCAGGATGATGTGCCCTTTGCGGCCAGTATGGCGGATCATGCTCGCGCCATTGGTGACAAATGTTTCAAGGAGGAGCAGTTTGTAGCAGCCGTGCACTGCTACGAGGTGGCTACCTTGCTGTGCCCTTCAGGCTCGCCGAACATATCCAAGTTGCCTGGGCCTAGTGCTGAGACTTTCGGACATTTGGGTAAATTTGGGTATGGTGAAAAATTTGAGAGCGCTAAAGTCTCTTGACCTCGATTTATGAAATCTATTCCAGGGAACCCTGTGACTCCAGAACAGCAATCTTAATCCCACCGCCAGTCCTTTCCGCCCGCGACATAGTTTTATCCAGACAGAAATGCACAGAATTTCATTTTCTTTATTGATGATGAAAATCATTTGTGAAACTCATTGGACTTCATGCCCACCCGTTTTTGGACACACTCATATCGTATAGTTGGCTACTCGCACCCCATCCCCAATGTGTCCAACCATTTTATATCCTTCCATTTGAATCCATTTGACATCCAAAAAATGGTGAAATAAAATGGTGCTCCAAACAGCTCTTCAAACATCAAAGGGGTAACGGCAGGACCTTCATCCCCGTTCCGTGAGCAACTGGCCAGTGGCCACTGCAACTGCGCACTGGCCTGCCTGAAGCTTCGGAGATATGGCGATGCCATCAGCGAGCCTTTGCAGCACGCAGAGCGGGGTATGCTAGCGGTGTCAACCAGTGAAGAAATGAAGTAATGATAAAAGACGCCCACACAGAGACACACGTAACATATCTATCTATCTGTCTATCTGTCTGTCTGTCTGTCTGTCTGCCTTCCTGTCTATCTATCTATCTATCTACCTATCTATCTACCTGTATGTATACATACACATACAAATACTATATGATATGATATATATCCATATCCATGTCCACATCCACATCCCTAGAATCTATCTGTCTATCCTACCCAGTCTTAGCCTGGCCTGGCCTAGCTTATCCTATCCTACATTGTCCTTCATACGTTCGGACGTATGTATATAGGCACACTTTTCTTTTGAATTTATGTGCATGAAACAGCGGTTCCCACACTTATTTGGAATGGAGAAAACCTCATCAATTCTTCAGCAAAATGCTGGAAATGGCCCGAAACTCCGGTCCAGGAATGCCATGCGGCCTTGGTCTTGGTGCCCTCTATGCAGTTGACGCTCAAGACGCTGCACCGCCTAGCCGCGGCCCACGTGTGCCTGAAGAACTCCTGGGAAGCCGTGCGGTGTTTGAGGAACTGTATCTTGGAAGCATCATGGGGGAGACAACGCCAGACAGCATCGGATCCACCATGATCCAGCTATTAGTTGGGTCCAAACATTTGGGCGAAAACCTTATTCCGCTGGTGAATCATCATCAGTGTCCCCATTATATGATGGTCACATTTGGGATTAAAGTCCGCCATGTTCAGAGCCATCCAAATGGTTCTTCTTGCTCATATTTCTGGTTATATCACCACTATATCAATCTCCATTGTATCGTATCCCATCATTTCTCCACTATATCCCCATCATATCGCCATTGTATCACCATTTTTCCTAGACACATCATGAGTCAGGGATTTATTATAGTTAGGTTAGTATCGATATTTGATTTAGTGTCCCATTACATCGCCTAATAGTCCCTAATAGTTGGGTTAGTAGTTAGTATCCCATTACATCCCCAATTTATACATCTCCATCATATGGCCATGATATCGCCATTTTGCTCGTACAATCACTTGTTTTCAGCGCATGTTTCCAGGTTTGGACCTGGAACCCGACAACGTCCACGTGCAGAAGCTCTTGCAGGCCGTCGAGAGCTCGGCGAGCTTGGAGAAGGAAGTGATCGAGGACAGGCTTTAGTCACTTTAGTCACTTTAGTCTCATTTGATCCATATATATCATATATGTATTATAGATATAATGATGACATAACAAGAAGAACAGAATATGATATGACAAAAACCATCATGGAAGTATGGGTTGGTCTGGAAATAAATAGGGGGTACCCCCCAAAATAACGACTTTCATAGGGAAAAGGATGTTCGAATCCGTTGGAAGTGGGGATAGCGTTTTTTCAGACAAACCGATATAGTGATGACATAAGAGCAATAACCATTGTGGCAATGTTAACTGGGTGACCTTTGCTAACCAAGCCGCCAGCAGGATCGAAGTGAACTGGTTTGGGCTGATCTTTGCATCCAAGGTGGGGTCGCAGCACAACATAGCACAGCTGATAAGGGACCCAGCACTCAGCTCTTTAAGCTTCTGCCATTGGTAAGTGGATGCTTCCCATCCCTTTGGTTGCATTCCGGAGTTTTGTCGGTTTGTTTTTCCGCATTCCTGTTTGTTGCGTACCATTTCTGTTACAGATTTCAAATTAGCTTGGTCTCACCTCGTTGCACTAGGGTACACCAGTGGGTGATATAGATTCCTCTTCCTCACCTTCCAAGATGTGCCACATTTTTCAGGTTGGCCTGGCAGTAAGTGAAATACTATGAGGTTCTATCCAAGAAATGTAGGTACATAATTACATAATCATAATGAAAACACCAGCAATCCCACCATTTTTGCCAGGGTATGCACGAGTCTGCTCGGTCTCTGCAATTCTAGTGATTTGCAATCCGCAAACTGCAGTTCCTCACTGAAATGATTTACTCTTGTCCCGTGAAGCATGCAGAATCATTAGATTCATTAGAAAAAATAGGTCAGGTGTGTCCCTCAACCGAGCTTGGCCATCCCGGCGCGCCAGGCCGCGACAAGGCCCGGCGCCGGCGGAAGAAGAAGTGCGGCGAGCGCGACGCGGAGCGGCACCTGGATCGGGAGGCCGGGCTGTGGCACAGCGTGGTGGCGCAGAATTCCAAGCTCTACGTTTTTGGAGGCGCCGCAGTCACCCATGGTCCATGGCTACTTTGATAAGGGCAAAATGTGCAGGAAACAGGAAAATATGAGTTTTGATAATTTTGAGCGGGAGATACTGGGGATAGACTGGGATATATAATCTAGAATATGTATGATTGTTTGAGTGTGGCGAGAACTTGCATGGGTAGTCTGCCCCGAAAATATGGGCTTTGAATAGGGAAAATGGCGATAAAGTCTGATAAAACATGGGATTTGTAAGTTTAAAACTGGTTTCCCTCTCCGGCAAACCCATATGATGGACTGATGGATGTGATCGATTGATGTTGATGATTCATGCTTCACGAGCCAGGAAGCTGATTTGAAGGGGGCTTGGGATAGGGGTCGATTTAAGCAGCATTGGGGGACAACATGGTGATTCCGAGCCCATTTCATTGCTGGATCGGGAAAGGGAGGCAATAAGGCAGCTGGGTGTCAAAGTATGGTGGTTCACTTCACATAGCCAGGTGGCTTTGGATTTAGGGAATGGCTTGCTATTGAGCTTCGTTTGAAAGTTGTGACCTCCGCACCCTGCAGGTCTCCCGAGCGGCCGCGATGCCGATGGCGCTGATGCCCCTGGTGCTTTCGGGTCGTTTGGACCCAACCAGATGGAAACCAGTGGCGGGTCGGAGGACTTGGTGGCCGGCAAGCTGGCTGAGCAAGTGTGTTGGTGGTTGTATGGTCTGGAAGTAGGGGGAGGGTTTCAGGTAGGGGGAGGGTTCCAGTGTTTGTCGTAGATCTACATGCTGACCCCTTCCATTTGCCTTTGAAGTGGGATCATCAAAGCGTCCTACCCTCCCAACACGTAGGAGTTCCATGCATTGGACCTGGAGACTTTGGAGATGGCAGCTGGATCCAAAGCTCCGCAGCCTTCCTATTGCCCCTGGGTCGGACTTGGGAGGAGCGATGAGCGATGCATCAGTTTTGGCGAGCTTTGGGGTGGACAGCAAAGGATGGAAATAGAACATGTTGAAAATATACCGTGGCAACTTATTCCAACGAGCAGTGATTCATGGGAGGAATGCAATGACACTTCAAGTGAAACTGGCCAAAGCCAGAGTCCCGCACCCGAAGATGTTCAAGTGGCAAAATGTAAGACGTACCCAGTGACGTGACCATAGTGACCTATGCCACCACTTGGTGGAGACATTCGTTTCCTAGGGATGCATGTTGGTGCCTGGGGTTCAAAGTGATGAGCTCTTCAGGTCATACAGCCACAGTGGTGGACAACAGCATGCTGGTCCTGGGAGGAAGTGTGGCGCCCTGCCATTTGGAAAATGGTGGTGGGGAAGAAGGGTGCCAGCTGTGCACCAAGCTTCCTACTTGAATGTGCATCCTACGGTAGCTGGTGTGTTGTAACCATGCTCGCAAGCCAATGATCAAGAATGCCAGATTTGATTTTTTTATTTGAAATTGAGACCCCTAAATTCTTTGAAGCATTCATTGGAACCTTCCTTAATCAGCAGGCCCTAGACTATTTGCGGTCAATCTTCACGATCCCCACCCCATTTACACTTGTTTCCAACAGGTCTGAAGAGGATCATAGCGCATACAAGTCCAGTGGCACACCTGGCTGATTCTGTATGTGCCAGCAGTTCCAGACCCATTTGCTGTTGATTTTTCATGTCATCTCTCTCTAAATTTGCAGGTCATGTTGAAGGACACCAATCAATCCATTGGATCACTATCCTGAGCGGTCATATCTCCAATTTTGGGCTGCAAGCCTCCCAATTCCCGGTTCGAAAAGATTCGGTTCACCACAAGCCTTCAATCTTATTGGTGATTCATTGATTCAGTGATTCATGGATTATTTGATGTTTGTTATTTGGTTATCGGTTATCCACCAATTTGGATATGGTGTATTATGGTGTTATTTGTGGTTATCCACCCCCCAAAAAACAAAAGTTTCTAAGGATGGCGTGCTGGTCTACGACTTCCTGGACTCCAAATGGCGCAGCCCAGAAACCACCGGAACCGGCGGCGGCACCGGCGCCGGCCCGGGACGGCGGCAGGGGCATTCGGCGACAGCGCTGCAGCGACAGCTGTGCGTCTATGGAGGTGGGGAGATGCCGTTAGGGACACCTCATGGAGTCCATGGAGTCCATGTGTGCTGGATTCCAACCTGGTGGCAATGGGAAAGCTTAAGTATCGATGCTGAGCATTTTTGGAATTGATTTGGCAGCCATCGGTACAAGAGCTCTGGAATGGCTGACGGGTGAATTTGGAGAGGAATTTCGAACCATGCTTATAGTTTTGTTGGATATTCCAGGATGATAAATGATGATAAGAGTATTTCACGATTTGCTCATGGTGATTGTCTCGTGTGTAAACAGTACCACTCATAGACAAGACAAGCTGATATTGCTAAGATAGGGGCTGAAGATTGCACATTTTGCCTTGCCGGGCACCATGGGAGACAAACATGGAGGCTTTCAACACATGGGTGAACCTACAACTTGCTGTAACTTGCCCAAATCCTCCAGGTTAGAGTCAGTTTTAGTTCTTTTCTTCCCTTCCTGGAAGAGGTATTCCCGAATTCTGGTAAGTGCCCGGAGTTCCAGGAATCGAGTTGATGGAACAAGGCAATGGCCGAGTTTGCAATGACGCATACCTTCTGGACTCTTGGCAAGCACGGCACTTTTTTGATGATTGGAATGGTCTCGCAGCTGGCAGTTTCGTGAATACCTACGGGGCAATGCTTTGGGGGTGTTGAATGTAATTATATAAATAATAACATACAGTAAATATACACAATCTAGGCATCCACATTCCAAGCGTCTTGGCTCGCAGACATCTTGGGGCCCGAGGATACGGAGTCCTGGGCTTGGCAAAAGTTGGACTGCACGGGCATCATACCGCCAGCACGGTTTCTTGGCGCCACAACCATGGGTTCTCTCGCTAAAAAAGCTACCTTGAATGGATCCAAATGGTGGTTCGGGGTCCCTCCCAAGATGTCGATCTGCTAATCTCCGCGATGTTGGTGAGTTGCCATCCCAGGTTCGGCCACACGGCAACCCAGCTGCCAGATGCCTCGCTACTGGTGGTGGGAGGCCGGGATCAGATGACCTCATGCAGGGACCTGGTCCGTGCCCTGGCGCTGGAACGATACACTTCGAGAGTGCCAGACATGCTTGTGTGTTGTTTTTGGATGTTTTTGGTTCTTCTTCCCCTTCTTTGGTATTTAAACCATTTTAAAACTATTTAAGGGCTCCATTCGGTTTTGTTGTGGCTTGTGACATCTGCAGGTTGAAGGTCGGTATAGATGTGTGAAGATGCACATGCATGGATGCAATATAAAGGGGCGCACATTTGCTGAACACGTCTTTCCTCCAGGAAAAATGCCGGGCCTTTACAAAAGGGCATGGTTCACTACTTGGATGGTTGCATGAAGTTGTGGTTCGAACTGTTTTACAGTTTTAAAAGCCAATATATATTTTGATATATATATATATTAGGAGAGATGTGTTGATCATATTTGTAGTAGACAGGGTGTCTCTGTCTCTCTCTCTCTCTCTCTTGCTCCGTTTCTGACTTGTGTCAGCGATGATGGATCAGTTGCTTTTCAATTCGTCAGGCTGCTTGCTTGGATGTCCATCTCTTTCTTTTTCTTAAATGGAGGTTTCCTACAATCGGGTACCCCGAAATCTTTTTTATTTTATTTTCCATTATGAACCATCCAACTATTGGGGTACCCCCATTTATGGACAACCTCCAAATACCGACCTTCCAAGAAATGGCTTCCTCAGCCAAGGCGACCACAGTGGCCTTCATATCTTGGATGTGGAGAAGCATGCCTGGAGCGAGCAAACCTTTACCGGAACCCCTCCGGAGAAGGTCGGGTGTACCGGGGGTACCTTGGGGTGTTGGATACCCCAAAGGAGGTGCCAAAAGATGTCGCATCCTGCTTGGTTGATTTGGGATTTGGGATGACATTATAGTATGTTCGTATGTTATTCTATGGCATCGTGCCACAAAGAACATCTCACACGTGAAGCCGTTTGAGGTTCATCTTTCGGCCTACCACACAATACCAACTATGTTTCCCGAATGCGTAGCAAGGGTTCCCGTTTCACTCTGGGGGTCTGGGGGTTGAGGGTGTGTTCGCTCGACCTCGCGTTTGTGGTCGCAACCGTCCGCAACCGTCCGCGCGATCCCCATATGGCCGTGCCTATGGTAAGTTCTGCAGAAGTGGTCGTTTTTGTAGGTTTCAAACATCTCGTTGCTTCGTTTCGCGTGGCAGGCGTGGCACTTCGTGACATTCAGACGTGTTTTGTAACGTGTCGAAAGTCGTTTCGTGTGGCAGGCGCAATACTTTTGCGACGTTTTCCGAAGATGCGTTGCAGTTTTCGTGGCAGGCGCAGCACTTTGGACGCGTCCATCGTCATTTTGCGTGGCAGGCGCAGCGCTTTAGACGTGTCGTGTTGCGTGTTTTTTGCAAATCGCATTGGCAGGGCTGCGTCAAATGGCGACAAGGTGCAAATTCCGTGGCAGGCGTGGCATTTTGTGAGATGTGATGAAAATTGACGGAAGCCTCGCACGAAACATTGATTTTGAGGTAGCACAATTTAGAGGTTCCTAGGAAAACTCGTAGGAAAACGTCGATTTTGAAGCTACAAAGTGTGAAAATTGGAGGAAGTCTCGCACGAAATGCTCGCTTTGGTGCTCCAACGCGTTTCGTCTCGAGTCTCTAGTTTTTCTGTGGCGTCGCCGTGTCTATGGGGGAAGCGGGAAAACATCTTCTATTCGAATGTGTCCAAGCAGGTTGTCATGTCGTTTTGCGTGGCAGGCGTGGCACTTTGTGACATTCCAACCTGTTTGATAACGTGTCGAAAATATAAAAATTGGAGGAAGTCTCGCACGAAATGCTTGTTTTTTTGCACCCACGTGTCTCGTCTCGAGTCTCTGGTTTTCCTGTGGCGTCGCCGTGTCTATGGGGGAAGCTCCGCACTCCACACTCTACACTTTACACTCCAGACTCCACACTCCACAATTTACACTTTAGATTCCACACTCTACACTTTACACTCCACACTTTACACTTTGCACTTTACACTCCTCACTCCTCACCTGAAACTTTACACTCCACACTCCACACTTTACACTACACTCTACACTTTCCACTCCTCACGCCTCACTCCACACTTTACACTCCACACTTTACACTCCACACTCTACACACCACACTCTACACTTTCCACTCCACACGCCACACTTTACACTCTACACTTCACACTCCACACTCCTCACTCCACACTTTACACTCCTCACTTTACACTCCACACTCCACACTTTGCACTTACGCTTTACACACTCTACACTCCCCACTCCACACTTTACACTCCACACTCCTTACTTCACACTCCACACTCCACACTCTACACTTTCCACTCCACACTGCAGAGTGGTAACAAGGGAAACATGTACAAGACTGTTCAAATAAAGTATTGCAGAAAGGTATTGTGTGTGTGACTGCATAACCATGTGTTTTGACATCTGTGCCATTAACATACGTGTGAGCATTCGGGTTCGTGGGTTTCATCTTGTTTTTTTCCCCGTCCTCTTCGGTTAACAAACATCTCTGTTGGCTTCAATCCCGCATCGAACACCATAAAAGACTATCAAGAATCAAGACCCAATAATAACTATAAATAAAGAAGAACTGACCATATTGACCATAATCCACGAATAGTGTTTCACTAGGATTCACCATCCAGGGGGGTTCACCCTAGCTGGGCGAAATCGTCAGGTCTTTGGGCATGTCGCTTGCCTTTGGACCCCTCGAAGCCTTCTCCTGGTGTCCGGGGAAGCCAACGACAAGCCGCAAGCCCCAGGTGCGCGGGCCGTGGGGGGGGTTGCATCAGTTAGGGTTTTGATACGCTTGCATGGTCCGCAAGCGTCCATGATGGGTATAAGAACATGAGAATTTAAGAAATCATGAAATTGGGTTCTTGATGCTAGTTCACTTTGGATTCACTGGAAAACTTGAGAAAAATTAGAGCAGATGTGGTGGGTGGGGGTATCCACCTCATTGTACTTCCAATTGCCTTCCAACTCCGAACCCCCAAAGTCTGTGTATCAACAACCCCCCCTCCTTTTTCAGGCGCTTCTTATTCAGCGTCGTTTGCCAGCTACCCATTGTGAATCCAGATTTTTGTGCATTGGAAGCATATCCGGATTCAGGTGGTGTGGAGCTGTTCATTCTGGACCTGGAGAAGTGGTGCTGGAGCCATCCCTTGGTACAGGGTGCTGCGCCAGCCTGCCGCCTGGGCATGGGTGGTGCAGCCTTTGGCTGCCTGGGTGAGGCTGTGAACGAGCGCCGCCTCTACCTCTTTGGGGGCGTGGTGCTGCGAGGGGAGCAGGTGCGGATGGGGGGGTTGGGGGGTTCGGGGGTGGAGCCTGAAATCGTTGGGATTTAGAAGTGGAAAAAAACATGATGTTGGTGTTTTGATGGGTGAGTTTTTTGGGATTTTTTGGGCAAACAAAATGGATTGGTCATAGATTACCACGTCTTTTTTTTGGGGACCATGGCCATCAAAGCAGATTAAGCAGATCTCATTTGTTCTTCTGGGCGTGCACCTCCAGCATATCTGGTATTTTTTTTTTTTCTGAGTTTTCTCTCTCCAGAGGGAGCAGAGCAGCGAGTCTTCACATGTTTCAAACAAGTCGACCTGGACATTCGACAGCATATCATGACAAATTCGGCATGGCTTGTACTTGTACATCACGACCCTCCCACTATGAATTGGTCACAAGGGAGGTTGAATTTTGAGCGACCGAACCCTTCATGAATTTGAATGTATCGTTCATCCTGCACAGCCTCAAAGTCAATATGCCTGATATCAACCCTACATTTATAGCATTTATGGCGCTTCTGAGTGGGTTGGGGCGGTGCTTCTAGCATTGTAAGGCCGAACATCCACGTAGCTGTTGCGGAGCACAGGTTATGGTGGACAGGACGGTCTACATGCTCGAGACGGTGGAGGCAAAAGATGCGAAGGCTGGTGTTTTCGGGAACGCAAGGGTTCCCACCGGCGACAGGCCCCAAACATTTGACAGGAACACATCTGGAATGTGAATGAATGTGACTCTTATTCTTTTTTGGTGGAGTGATATGAGTGATGATTGAAACCGAACTTTTTTTTTGGTGTTTTCAAATCAAGAAAAGCAAGAAATATTCGCATGCTGCATTGTGGGGAATCCGAAGCCGGGGGTCCTCTTGTTGTGAACCATTTGTTTCACATGGGCTGAATGATTTCCCACTTGAAAAGTGGCATGTTCGATCAGGATACCTTGCCGGCAAGAATTTTCAACAGAGAAATGTTGGTGGAATTCAACATATCAATGAGACGCACAAACAAAAATCCAAGATTTTCCATGGCTGAGCCAGATGTTCCTGTAGGCGGCAGCTGCTGCCAAAGAATTGGACGATGCGCCCGCGGTGGAGCTTGACAATGAGGTCGAACAGGATTGGGTCAGGGATTCGTGGCTCATTCGGTGTCTCCTCAAAGCTTCTTATTGGATGCGCAGAAATTGAGAAATTGGACTTTGGTTCGAATTCTGGAATGTAACATGCATGGATGTCATTGATTATCATTGATTTAAAGGAGTTTCTTAATGGACAACGGCTACCAGAAATGCTCATCATATGCGATGGATCAATGTTGTGGTCCATTGGTCCATCGTGAATAACTGGCGGTTTTCTATGGCCAGCTTCGATGACATGCCAACTGTGGCCCCAAGCAAAACTATTGGCAGGGGTTATAACGGTTATAATAACTTTTGATTTCTGGCCAAATATCTCATTGTGATATATATATATAAGTATGTATATGGATAGAGACATCCCATTAATTATATCCCCATAAAACCTACGATGTATGATATATATATATATCCCCATAGTAACGGAATTAGATGTTCAGGTTGCCAGATATTGGTGAACTTCAACATGATTTTCCAAATCAAAACCCGTCCCATTTTTGCACACACCCAAATTTCATATCAAGTTGTCTAGTCCATTAGTCCATATCCCCATGATGCCCAACAGCAGTCACTGGGTTTCAATCTCTGGGTCTGGCCGCACCCCTTGGAACCATGGGATCCTGCAACCATGGAAGCTGCTGTTCGGTTGCAGAGCTGGGTTAATACCCATTCGACCCTCATCATATATCATCATATGACCATTCTGTCACCATGTTTCCTAGTTATATCAGTTATATCCCATGATATTCCCAAATTATCTCTGTTGATCTCTGTTTTCCCATCATAACTGGCGGGCCCTGCAGGAGATCACCGGGATCACCGCCTTCCCCGACATTCCAGAGCTGGTGGGCGACATTCCCACAGACCTGCCAGACGAGGGTGACCAAAACGAGGAGGTGGAAGACGCTGGGCGAGAGATTTCACCTGCCAAAATGGGTTGAATCAATGGGATTTCGCGGGGATGAACCCATTTCAAGCGAAGTTGCTTTATAATTTCTAGGTTAGTCAAGGTTCATATAGATCACACAGTGATGATCAAGATACCTAGAGTGGGGTAGAAACCAACTTAAGAGTCGGGTGCGCCAGCACCCTCTGGGAATTGAACATGGCTGGCCATGGCAAATCCCTAGTGACTCTAGTGGGATCCATGGTAACACCCTCTGGAAGTTAACATAGCTGAGCTGTGGAAAATGGGCCATTTAGTTCGATCATTTGCCTATCAGAAATGACCATGTTCCATAGTCCATAGTACATAGTTAAATTAATTTACCGGAGGGCATATGGAAATGTGTGAAACTACTGTAGTTTATCATAGTTAAATTAATTTACCGGAGGGCATATGGAAATGTGTGAAACATTGTGAAACTAGTTTATCTTTTTATTTCTTTCACCTGGTATCTGTTAAAATCACCAGAGGGTAACTGGGATTCACCTCCAATCACGGGCCCTTCCGAGGACGAACCGGAGCTCAGTTTTGAGGAGCTGTTGGAGCAGGAGCAACCCATGAGATTTAACACCATTTTTAAATGGGCTATAAACAAGGGATATCATGGGGATCTAATGATCTAATTGTATATATAGATATATAAATGTCAACATGAAACACATGCATACGTACATGACATACACACCCACCTACACCTACCTACCTACCTACCTACATAAATACATACATACATACATGCATACATACAGACATACAGACATACAGACATACAGACATACAGACATACAGACATACAGACATACAGACATACAGACATACAGACATACATACATACATACATACACACACACACAGAAACACATACACACATACACACATACATTACATACATACATTACATACATACATACATACATACATGCATGCATGTATGTATGTATGTACATACATACATACCTACCTACATACCTACATACATACATACATACATACAGACATACAGACATACAGACATACAGACATACAGACATACAGACACACAGACACACATACACACACACACATACATACATACATACATACATACATACATACATACATACATACATACATACATACATACATACATACATACATACATACATACATACATACATACATACATACATACATACATACATACATACATACATACATACATACATACATACTACATACATACATACATACATACATACATACATACATACATACATACATACATACATACATACATACATACATACATACATACATACATACATACATCAGTACATACATACATCAGTCATACATACATCAGTACATACATACATCAGTACATACAGTACATACAGTACATACAGTACATACAGTACATACAGTACATACAGTACATACAGTACATACAGTACATACAGTACATACAGTACATACAGTACATACAGTACTTACATATTATATATATATTTATATATAGCATACGTATTTTTCAAAAACATATTTATGAGGATACGAACATGCTGTCCTTACCACCAATTCAGGGCACTTTTGTTGGAACATGATGATCAATTATGGGATTTCGGCGTCGCCTATTTTCAGACAAGTCCATCCTCAGAAACCTCCGCCCCTCAGCATAGCAGGAGAAGGCTTTCTTCAAGTTGCAAAGCAAGAAGACATCTTTTCCAAGATCCCAAGTGGCTGAGGTTCGTCGCAAGGACAACCGTCAGGGCAAGAAATCGGGACAGAAATCCGGATGACAGGGGCCACGGGACGCGAGTTCTGCCTTGCTTCCGCGGAAAACGTGCGGTCACAGTCCGGGGTCTCCTCCCGGCCCGGGGCCGAAATCGGACCATGGAATTCAGTCCGGATCCGCCGGGTTTGTTGACCAACGGCTTTGCGTTTCGTGGGAAAACGGGGCCGGTGGTCGTGGCTGTTTTTTTCTTGGTGGGGCATCGGAACACGGATGAACTGATGGCATATGATGGAGGGATTGAAGGTGCAGATGCTGTACAGATCTGCAGACACGAATGCATCACAAGAGGCAGAATACCATGGCTGCGCCTGAATGGCTGCCATTCTATATTATATCATATTGTTATATGTAAGTATATATATACTGTATATATGTAAACATATATCACACACACACACATCCATCCCACAATGTCAAGACCGGGCCGCTCTTCAAGGAGTTGGCAGAGATCGAGGTCCAAAGGCGAGAGATCTGTGGCATAGGGTAGCTTGACAAGATTGCCCTATGTAAAACCAAAAGATCTCCATTTGTCATTGCGGTTCAAACCAGGTGAACCAGGTGAAATTAAAGCAATATCCACCCATTTGTGGTTATAACATGTATATAGACATATACATATATACACATGCCAATACGTCTTATCGAGCTGAGACATTCTGGTTGCCAGGTGAGTTGACGTGAGGGCTGCAGTATATATATATCTTCTCGCTCTCTCCGTCTCTGTAAATTATATACAACCCGGCAATGAAATACCATTTTATGTGGAGTTCAATTGCTAGGTTTCTTCACCAAAGCGTGAGACGTACGAGTCATTCATGCTTCAGGGGACGCATTATCCATGAGCTTGACATGGGTAATCGCACCAGTAACAGCCAACCATCACGTGGATTTGTGTCAGCTGGAGGTCCCAATCCGTGGACAAGTCCAGCCATGACCCATCACCAAGTGGGAAGCTCAGCTGGTTCCTAGATTGAAGAGGGAGGGTTCTATGACAGCTAAGAGGCTAAGTGCTGGATGCACCAGCCGAAAAATCTGACAAATACCTTACTTGTTCGATATGCAGATGTACCTGCAGCTGCATTTGGATGCAAATCAGGGCTACAGTAATGTATTTGTATTCTTTCACCAGGTCTGTCAGAACAAGATATTGGGCACATTTGGGCACACATGTGAGTTCAACTTTCACTCAGATGGCCCACCTCTAGTTCTATGATGGAAAGGCCGGTGCAGGCACAGTCATTCTGATTTTGTTCTGTTTTCTATGGATCCCTTCCCGTGGGGCCCACTCTCAAAATCAACTTGAGGAGGACCAGCACTTAGCAAGCAGGAAAGTCATCTACAAACTATTTGCAGCCAGCATTGCTATATAGATGCTTCAGGGCACGCTTGAATCAGAATATCACAACCTCAAAATTACGCCTGTCCATGAGGATTGTGGAAAACCACACCAAAATGGTTTAGTGATCCGAGTTTAGTGGCAAAAATATGGATTTGTGCGGATATGTTTTAGGTAGATAAGGGGAATATTATTTCATCAGACAAACCCAGGATGTAGTGCAGGGTGGGGCCTCCGAGATAGCTAAGTTGGTTTATAACAAAAGTATAGGGCTTATGGCTTATGGAAGATATATCTCGATGTGATATAGTTGACTGAATTTGTAAACCAACCTACAACTGAAGATGCTGAAGGGTGGGTCCTCCTTGGAGTCCTATCCCCCTAATATTGCATAGCACCCATATGGACCTCCAAGATGAATAGATCCAAGACGGGGTTTCGTTTGTGGGGCATTTAATAGTTAATATTATCGCGGGAAGGGATTGCCACACACATGGCAATTTCATCACTATTCTCGGGATATGGTATAGACTATAGATATTACAACCTGGGGGATCTCAGGATGTTCTAGATGATGTTTTCCCTATCATTTCCAGGGTTCCAACTTTTCTATGGCTGGTTGCCTACCATGGCCCAGGCCCTCTGCAGCTCTATGACGTCTCCTCGGGGGCCCTCTGGTGGTCGGGATGCCTACCTCTTTATGGAAGCCTGAGGTTTCCCACCTTGCACCGGCCAAGGTTGGCATGTTGGCAAAGCAAGCGCCGCTTGGAACAGGTGCGAGAGCTTTGAAGGGGCTGGGGTTGGGCTGAAAAAACCTTAATTACTGGGTTAGAGTGGCCATCATCGCGGGGTTTGATTCCTGGTTAATTACTGCATGTAAAGCTACAGAAGCCGAAAACATCCAAGCTGAACTTAAGCTCCACAGCCAGGGGGATGTGACCGAACTCTCGCGCTTGTCCTTCCTGGTGACGCTTGGGGGCAAGTGCTGTGCTTGGAGAAAGATTGGTTGGACCAAGTGATTGCGGTTTGATTGATGATCCTGGTGTTTACATGGAGATGCAAGCAGCAAAGGCTGGGACAACGTTTACAAAATTCATGGGGACATGAACCCAGCAAAGCTGCTGAATCAAATGGGCATTCACTTAGAGTCGAGTCTATTAGAATCTATTAGAGAGGTATCGATGAGGATACATGATCCCTATTTGCAATGCGCAGTTTCACTTGGATCACCCCTTCTGCCCTTCTGCTCGGTTCAGCTTCAGAACATTTCAGCACCGCGGGGGGGCCGCCGGCGATTTTGGGGGGCATCATGAGTTCTTTTGGCACATTGTTCAAGGCGGGACTGGATGACTGGATTGGCTGAGTGAAGGTCATCGTATCGGCTTAGCCGATCCAGCGGTGACATCCAGACTTTGACATGTTCTTGGTTGCATCCTCGTGTTTCGTTAGTTGGTTTCATTTTCATGCATATTGACACAAACGACAAGCCGCGTATAATATATACATAATATATACTTACATATCAATGTAAAACATGTAACATACACACGCACATACATAGCATATATTATATCACATACGCATATATATATATATATATGTACAAACCTATATATACATTCACATATATATATATATATTCATACACATATAATTACATATATACATATATTTATATCTATATGCACATATATGTATATATATATATACATATGCACACACACATATATATACATACATACAATACATTACATTACATTACATTACATTAGTTACATACATACATACAGACAGACGGACGGACGGACAGACGGACAGACATACAGACAGACAGACAGACATACATACACACATACACACATACATACACATACACATACACATACACATACACATACACATACACATACACATATACATATACATATACATATACATATACATACAGTATACATATACATATACATATACATATACGTATACATATACATATACATACAGTATACATATACATATACATACACATATACATATACATATACGTATGTATATACATAAATCAAACTGGATAGATAGACAAGAGTGATTGATAGATAGATAGGCAGATAGACAGGTCTCCACCTTCGGCGAGTCGCACGGCGTGGGTGTGGGCTGCATCGTGGATGGCATTCCGGCCAACCTGCCCTTGATGCATGGCACGATAGTTTGAAGCCCCCCCTGCTAGGGAAAAGCTGATGGTTTCAGGCTTTCCTTCTGATTTCCCATGGTTTCGTCCCCAAGGTTGAGTGACATCTTAAAAGGACCCGCTACAATGCATCGGGCAAATCATCCCAAACCATCTGCAAAAGCAGCGGTTTCTGGATGTGGCTCATGTGCAGGCATGATAATGGTCCACCTCTTTCACGAAAATGATGGCTGCGCAGAATGAACACTTCCACACACAGAGAATCTGACCATCATTGACGGACCACCTGACTGAAAGAGGTCCAGAAGATTTCAGAAACTTCATCTCACACAAAGTCATCGTTGAGAAATCCGCTATATATATATGATACTGTCCTTTCAATTGGTGATGGCCAGATCTATTTTCTGATCATCCCATCCTTAAGGACCGAAGAGGATGTGCAGCCCCAGCTGACTCGGCGCCGCCCGGGGCAGAGTTCCCTGACCACGGCGCGGAATGAGACGGACACCGTGACCATTTTGTCCGGCACGGAGCGTCGATCCGGGGATGGTGGGAGATTGGGGGAAGCTGGGATAAGCTGGGGCTGATGTCAGGGATCATTTGCTAGATTTGGCTGATGGTTTTGGATCTCTTTGAGTCCGATCCCTGGGATGAAGTGAAATGACCGAGATTCAACCAGTAGATTCTTGAACAGTTTTTGTTGATTGAATTGGGGGGAGGGCCCCCAGAAAAACACAGCTGACAGATAAAATAGAAGCTGCAGCAAGTGAAAACAAGCCTTTGAATGCATGGGGTGAACTAACCAATCTGCGAATCCTAACAGCTGCTGTTGTCCAGAGGATCTTTTTCCAGTTCCTGCTGCATGTAGTTTGCAACCACACTTAGTAAGTCCCCAATTCCGAAGGTTATCCCAGTTGCCACTGGGTTCATTACCATGCTCATCACTCATTCCGTTGGAAGTGGCTAGTGTCTCTTTCTCTTGTTTCTCTTGGAGATCAACAAAAATACTCAAACATGTCATAGCAGGGTCCCGCTTTACAGTAACATGTCATCTGATGATTCACTTCTATATGATTATGTGGGTTTTCCATTGCCAGCTAAGGTTGCTGGAGGGGAAAATCGTTTTTTTTTTCGTGGTTGAGTCCTCCAATTACATCCCCATGGACGGGAACAGAAACCTGGCACTTTTCCCTGGTCAACTTATCGGTGCGTCGATCTGTGGATCCAGGAGAGGGGCTTGACCCTGGGCACTCCCATTGCCATGATGGTCCGAAACCAGGTTCGGGTCTGGTGGTAGCTGATGACCATGACTTCAGATTCAATTCATTTTGGTCCCAATCATCAAACCTGTGGTATTTCATTGCAATTGTCTTGCTATCCAATGGCTATTTCATGGGGATATTATGATAACCAACAATATTTGGGTGAGTCTGAGGATGGGGTATATGCCCTCAAATAGCATCAAATAGTCAAATAGCAATATTAGTGGCTGAATGCAAAAAGAAGTCCTGAAGAAGGTTGTGAGCAACCACGTTTCTGTGGGAAAAGTCTTTAAACCACGCCGCATGAGTTTCAATTGGAATGCTTGGCGGCACTATATACATATATAATATGTAGACTAATTATACACACACACACATATATATAAGTATATATATATACATATATCCCTCCGCATACGGTATATTCACATATCAATATATCTACATATATATATATATACATACCTATATATATACACATACCTACATCTATATACCTATACCTATACCTATATCTATATCTATACCTATACCTATATCTATATCTATATTTATATCTATATCTATATTATATACATAATCCTATCTGTTTATACACCTATATCTATTTATACACCTATATCTATTTATACACCTATCTATATCTATATCTATATATATATACCTATATATATATACACATCTATCCATCCATCCATCCACCTATCTATCTATATACATATATATATATATATACACATAAATATCTAAAAACAATATTTATATATACATACGCAGGTACGTGTTTTTCTGTGTGTAGTTCCCAATTCCTGCTTCCCCAACCAGCTGAAGTTGTCCCAACCAGCTCCCAGGACCAACGGAAGTTCGACTACGCCAACACCTCTGCAGCGCCCCGGCCGGGGCATGCAGACTACACTTACCAGGCCCAGGGGGGCCCAGGGTTTCAGCCCCAGAGGCCCCAAGCAGCCACTGGGTATGTTTGATGGAAATTAATGGAAGGTTACCATCCAAAATGGATGATTCGATTTCATCAAGATACATGGGGGCGAGTTGGATGTCATCCATCATGAAATGGCGATCCGAGATAGCTGATAACATACATATAAAATGGACAAACCGACTGGTGAAGGAAACGTTCACAGCCTAAATTGTTAGACCTACATGGAGATTCTAGTTTTTCCAGCAGAGAGTTGACATTCTTGTGTTCTTTAAACTCTGGTTGTATCCCAGTTTTGGTTGATTTTGCGGTAGGAAACCAACCTGGGCAACTGCTCATCACTTTCAAAATGGGCAAATCATCACTGGATTTTTCGCGCCAGGTTAGATTGCTGGAGGGTCATGACAAGCCTTGGGTTCCTTATATTTATTTGTCGCGTGCCAAGCTCGATCCAGCAATTGTCACTTCTAGCGGCACTTCTTCTTTTTTTACATCCTGGATTGCACTTTTCTTTTTTGGGACCAAAATCGCCGTTCTTATCAATTCCTCTTGCTCAAATCTAATGTTTAGCTGCTTATCTACTTACTGTAGCTCCCCTGACTTGCTAGGGTAGTCACAATTCACATTGCAACATTGTATTGAAATGATTCAACCAACAGAAATATCATCTTCATCATATCCATCATATCCATCCCTCCATCCAACTATGTCACAGTTATATGGGGATGGGTCAAAATCTCTCACTACCATATTTGGGGGAATGACCATTCATCAACCCGCTATTTGAGGGTGGCTTTTGACCCATGACCATATATTACACACATGATGG